TATACTCAAAATTGCGGCTATTTTCTCAAAATTATTTATTTTTTTGATATTATCTTAAAATACAACAAAAACATAAAATTAGGATAATTATTGATAAAAAAAGATTTTCAAAATTTGAATTGAATAAGAAAACTATTAGAAAATTCTGAAATGATATCTTACCCATGTTAATCTAATCTGAAAGTTTAATTATAACAACGAATATATACTGATAAGACTAAAGATAAATTAGTTAAAATATAGATATTATAATATTTTTAACCACATTCCCTAAGAAAGAAAATCTGATCTATTTTAATAAATTCAAATTATTAATATATAATTTTATTCTTACAATCAAAGTGATTTAAAGAGAAGGTAATAAATAATTTTTAAGCAATTCTGGAAAATTGCTATTAATCAGGAAAAAATATATAAATTTAAAAATCTTTATCATAATAATACTGAATATTGAATTACTTAAGTAAATTTATTAATTTAAAATCAGTTTCAATTCTGAAAAAAATCTTCGTATAAATAGTTATTTTTATTTTTGGATATGTGATAAACAGTTTGTAATAGTAATTGAAATAGGCCTTTCAATAGAATGATTAATGCTTTCTTGCAATGAAACTCATGAAGAAATTGTAAATAGGAGCTAATTTATAAATATTAGTTATTACTATAATAGTTCACTGCTCTGAAAATTACAATATTTAAAATTAAAGCAAAATTATTTTTATATGTAGTTACTCTAAAAAATATAGGGTTTATTAAATAAAGAAAAGAATATCTGAAAACATAAAAATGGAATTAATCACTTTCGCTCTAAACACAAAAATTATTTTCATGGTCTTCATTTAATATATAACCTTAATTTATTTTTTGTTAACAGAAAAGAATTTAAAGAGATAAATATTTTTCTTTTTAATACAATTAATTATCTATTTAAATTCTAGTTTTTGAAATTCTTTTTAGTAAGACCTTTAAACTTGTTTTAAATGAAAGTACCACTAAATTTAAACAAAAAGGTGCTTTCTTTAATTTTATAGTAATTTTCAAGTGGTGAGCTTTTATAGCTTTTATAGCAATTGATCAGAAAATTATATAAAATTTAGTAATAAGCATAAATTGAAATCCATCTTTATCAATTCTATCAGAAGAAGTTTACTGTACTTCCTTATCTAAATAAGTTATTAATAATATTAAGAGAATTTTTGATTCAAAAAAGAAAAGAGAAAAGTTCAACTAGAAACTATTAAAGTAAGAATATTAAAAAATTATGGCATACTCATTTTATTTTGTCACTAAATCGAAAATATCAATAGAAATACATTAGTTTAATTAAATGAGCATCCTAAATAGCGGTTTTCTTTAAATTAAATTCAACATAATAGAATCAATTAAATTTTATATTATTTCCATCATCAAATTTTCAAAAACTTAAACTATGTTTGTAGATGAATCTTTTATCTAATACAATCTATTTTCTATTGATTTTATACCCTTAGGTGACAGAATTCACAACTTAAAAAAATTACTTGATGATAAGGTTGAATATTTCTATAATTTCATTATCAATACTACATATACAAGATTAAAATTTATTTATTTGAAATTAAAAATAATAAAAACTAATAATAGTACAAATACCATATAATTAAATGTAATAAAGATTAAAATTCCACTACAACAAGGATCTCACATAGATTTTTTAATTCAAATAAATTTTCGTTTATTTCAAGTTCTAAATATTTTATAAATTCTGAAAAGATAAAAGACATAATTTAAGTCTTATCATAATAATTTTATTAAACATAGATGAGAGATTTATTTTATCTCCTAATTAACTTATTATGCTAGGTATTTATTATTGAATATGTAATATTCATATTTAAAACATTGGCTAATAATATTTCCTTCACATATTTTTAAGATTGTTGATTAATAATCTAATTACCATTTTCATCATTCAATTAAATATTAACCTCGATATGCAAATTAAATAGTTAAAATTTTCTCTAAAAATATTGTCGCAAAAGTTAAGTTTAAAACGAGCTACATAAAAATAAACTCTAATAAATAAATTAATATATTTCTTTTTAAATTACACTCTCCAAAACATAATTGATTATTATAAATTTAATTGAATTGTTAATAATTTATAATTATAGTTAAGTAATAGAAATGGATTGTAAATTAAATATATTAGTTAAGTAAGGTATTTTTATGTGTGCTTCTTTCAGAAATTTCATAATATTAGTTACATTTAGAATTACATTAAAATCATCCATCATAACTTAAACAATTTTAGTCAATCCTCTATTATTTCTTATCTTCACAAATACATTATCATCCAAAAATGTTAATTCCCAACCAATTTTAAATTTCATGCGATTTCCATTTAAAAAAAATTCATTGTTCAAATCATATAAATGCATTTCACTATTTTTTAAATTATTTGTTTTCTAATATCACATAAATAATAAAGTGGGTTATTTACTTCTTCTTTATTTTAAAAATCATCTTATGGTTTTAGTGTTCCGATATTAAACAACTTTCTAAAAATACAAATCCAAAATATTCCATTCTTATTTCATATCTTAAATATTATTATTTTCTAGAATTACTTTTTCATGTGTTAAATTTGAAAACTTGATCAGCTTTCATTTTATTGATATTTTAATTAAATTTTTATTTTTTTATTGAAGAGCTTTTGCGTTTGTGCTTCTATCATATGTTATTATATTTATATGAATGATTGCTTTCAATAATGCTAGAAGATAAACTTTTTGTTGAACGAAAGGAAAATTATTAAGCATACTTTTAAAAATTATTATCAACAAAAAATTTTAAATGAAGTTATAGGGCATAGGGTAAGCATGCAGGAAAGATAAATAATTTTAAAAATTATCAATGAACTTTTGGTTGAATATTATGTGAAGTTAATCTTATCTATTTAAAATCCAATTTATGATAGAGTTTTCATTTGCATTTAAGGTTGAATAAATCCTTCATTCTTATTTTTGATCTTTGAATAAAAGTCAAAATTATATTGTCTTAAATTTAGATAAAAACATTATTTTCAAGTTCTATTATAATGAAGTTAAATTAATATATATTAAATATGATTATGGAACTGATCAAAATGCATATAATATATAATTGAAACATTTCAAATATAAATCCTTAAGTTAAGATTGGATCTTACTCTCTTTTAAATTTTATTATCATTACCAGATCAGTTGAGTTAAATTCCTATATAATTAAGAAAAAATCAATACAAAATTAGAAAAATTTACTGAAAAATAATTATTGCTCAATCTCTTCAAAATCTTTTTACTTTTAAGAGCTAGCAAATGATTGACTAATCTAATAAAATAAATTTCAAAATAAGATTTAAATTCTGATAGTTTTCGCAATGTAATAATTATTATGCCATCATCAGAAATGAATATATCTTTAATAAAAATTGTATATAAACTAATAGCAGTCATAATAAACAAAGCATTCCCATAATTAACAATACCTTTAATGTTAGATTAGGATCTTTATTTGTTCTTAGACAACATGTAAAGAAAACTTAAATTATTTTAATACTAAATAAAACAATCTTATTGAAAGCAACCATAACAAGAGTATGATCATATTTAAGGTTAAGGTATTTTGGTTTTAATCGCTTTTTCTAATTACTCTGATTTAATTATTTATGGTAGGATAAATAATAATTTAAAAAAAAAAATTATTTCTCCCTTTGATTTAAATTATCTTGAATCTTAAGTTAAGTTTTTATAAAAAATTTAAATTCTTTTCATATATTTTATATCATATTTAAAACAAAAAAACTACTTTAGTTTTGATAGGAAATTAATATTCGGCTTTTGTAATTAATTATCATTTAATTCTTTTTACTAACTTCATTTTGATTAATTATTTCTATTAAATTAACTTAAGTTTTGAAATTAAGAGATTAAAGTTAAATAAAGTATTAACAGATGAGTGAGCAAACTCTAAAAATTTATCATTTGAACTAGATTGTTCAAATATTAGATAATTTTATTAATGAGTTCAATTTAAAATTGCTCAAATAGGATTGCGTTTACAAATAAAATCTTTTTTCTTTTGATAATAATATTTTATCTTAAATTCAACTATTTTATTTGTTTTAATCTTTGAAAATTATTTATGTGATTTTATAAAAATTATCTAAAAAAGTAAAATAGTTTTTTTTAAAATCAATGTTAGTTAAACTTTATTTTAAATTCGATAAAATTTTAGATTTCACCTGACCTGAGTGGCTTTAAAGAAGTAGAAATTAAAATTTAATCGTAGAACTCCCTTTAATAATCATGATGTTATTATACTAGATAAATATTTATCTTCTTAATTAATCAGAGGGAAATTAATTAATCTCTTGAGAAAATGAGTAAAATATTTTAGGTTTTGTTTTTATAGAAAAACATCAAAAAATTAAAAAGAATTTAAAATGAATATTTGGAGATTCATATTGAGCTTCATTGGTAAAAAATATTTTGTTTTAAAGCAGAAAACAGAATATATATTAGCGGAATCAAAAATATCAATTTTACCTTTCAAATCTTTATCTAAAACATTATTATGATTTCAAAAGTGGAAAATTAAAAGATTCAAAAATATTGGTAAATTATAATGCTCTTCCTTGAATTATTTTTATTTTAATATAGTATCTCTGCCATTTTTATAGATTAAATTGTGAATGCAATCTCTTTCTTTTAAAGAAATTTCTAATTCGGCTTTAGACTACATACACCGAAAAAATAAAAATTGTGATATATAATTTAAATTTTATTCTTCATTTGAAAATATAACTATTATGATCAAGTCCGAACAAAAGATTAAAATTGTTAGAATTTAATAAATTTTGGATTTTAAAAGAAATAATAAGATACATATATTGAAAAAGTAGAAGTTTATGAACATTTATTCACTTTCCAATTGATATAATTAATAATAACATTATTAACTTACTAAAGCTGTTATTAATTAGGATCAATATCATTGTTGAAAGAGAGTTTATATTTTAACCTCAAATTATTATTATTATATATAGAGTCTATTTTAAGAGTAAATTAGAATAATATTTAAATTATTATTTTGCTATTCATAAATTAAAAGGATGTCTTAATAATATATAAGATTGAAAGAGAGATTGTCGAATATATTGCAACCTAGATAATTGAAACTAAAAGGACAATAGTTTAAGTCAAACGATAATACAAGTAAATTTGCCGTTAAAGGGGACTAAAAAAATCATAGATGTAAATGAATTATTATTTATATCCAACGAATATTTATTTAATAAAAAATGCAGCAAATAAATTATGATTAAGTTCTATTTACTTTTTAGTGTTATCGAAAGCATTTAATTATTGATTCTAAATATCATGTATACTTACTACCTCAAACTTTAATTCTTACAAGCGTAAATCATTATTTAACATTTTTAAGAATCCCAAATAAGAAAACCCTAAATATATTGTAAAACTAAGTTTAAATTCTAAAATTTACTGGATAACAAAATCCAAAACACCCATTCTTGAACAATTTGGATTCGAATATCAAGATAAAATAAAATATTTCTCTGGTACAACAAAGGAGTTATAAAAACTTAAAGACTTAATATAAGGTTAAATAATGTAAAAGGACATAAACGATTTTTATTATTCTAATTCTTTAATAGGAATAGGTGTTACTTCTAAAGTATTGTTTTAAATTTATTTTAGGTTTATTTAGTCACAAAAAAAGATGATCAATCTAAATTTGCATCTAAATGTGTAGATAAGAAAATATTGTAGAAAGATGGAAGATATGTATTAATATTTATTAAACTATAAGGATGCCCAGTTCAATGAAATTTAATTAATGTAAAAACTCAAACATGATAATATTATACAATTAATTGATCTTTATGAAGGAGAAAACACATTTTACCTTATTCTAGAATATTTGGAAGGAAAAAGTTTACATGAATAGCTTATTTAAAGATAATAAATTTTTGAATAAGAACAAATATAAATAATAATTAAAGTAAAATCTCTTTTATATTAAAGTTAATCCTATAAGCAATAGATTATATGCATTCTTAAGGTATTATGCATAGAGATTTGAAACCAGAAAATATTATGTTTAAATAAGCTAATTAACTATAATCATTAAAAATAGTTGATTTTGGTTTAGCCACTTTATAAAATTTAGATGTATATCATTTCCCCAGATGTGGAACACCTGGATATGTGGCACCGGAAATTGCTAATTTATAAGATTCATCTTAAAAATATACTGTTCTTTGTGATGAATTTAGTGTTGGGTGCATTTTTTATAAATTGTATTTTATTTATTAATTTAAAGATGTACAGGAAATGAACTCTTTCCTGGAAATAATGACTCAGTTATTATGAAATTGAATTAAAAATGTGATATAATCTTAGATGCTCTTTAAATATATCAAACTTCACCAGAAGCTATAGATTTACTATCCTAATTACTAAAAGTCAATCCATCAGAAAGGATTACTGCTCAAAATGCACTAAAACATCCATATTTCTAATAATAATACTAATCTTAAAATACATATATCACATAATATAATGCAAAAAAATTCAATCCAGTTATTCAATTAAGTTCAAAAATTGTTGATACTTATTAATAGAATTATGAAGAAGAAATTGTTGAAGATGAAAACACTAAACAGTTAACCATACCCTCTATTTAAATTATTAAGTCCTTTGGATATATATAACAAAGCTTTCATTCAAATTAAAATCCTAGAAATTTAAGAAAAATTTAGACCCAAGAATTTGATAAAAAAATTAAGACAACCTCTTCGAAATTTTATAATATTAAGCCATCATTAACTATGAATTATGAAATGTTTGCTTAATCTTCAAATTTTGAAAAAATTGTTAGAAATAATTTAGTAGAAAAGGCTGATGTTTCTGAAGCAATTGACTTCATATATAAAATTGATGAGGATCAAGATGAAGAAAAAGGAATGTAGAAATGAGTGAAAGCTAATTTTTTATTTAATATTTGGCAAATTCTTTTTATTTTAATATTTTATTAATAAAGATAATTTTAATATGATTAAAAGTTTTAAAGGATTCAAACATCATATCAATCAATAAATTTTCAATGATAGTATTTTAATGGATTAAGAAATAAAACATAGTGAACTTAGTTACATATTATATTAATTAATAGAAAATAGAGACCCTAAAATGAGCAAAATTAAGATATCTTAAAAATAAAATAAACATGATATTATATATACTTCTAACTAATTTAATTTCTTAACTTTAAGCAAATTTCTAAAATTACATAATTTAGAATATATATAACTTTAGAAAAATATTCTCATATATCTGTTCAATTTACTCCAAGGAATAGATATATATTGATTATATTAAAATTAATGAATTAATAATACTTGAAAATGGAATTGAAATTTTTGCTTTTAATATCAAACTCCCAAAGATTATGAAAACTTTTTATTATTTTAAAAAATATATCATGTTGAAATCAAAATTATTTATTTAAATCAATAGATTCGAACACAAGTACAATAAATTTAATAGGTTTGATAATCCTGAAAACTAATTATGTTTATTTCTACTAGAGGTTACCTATATGTAAGGTAAGTTTTCTAAAACATTAATCAGGACCTATTTATTTTAATAATGAAGTAAAGAATAGTCATATTTGTGTGTTTTAAATTTAATAAGGGAACACAAAGTTTTAGATTTGAGATTAAAACTTATCATTTAACTAATTAGTTGGTAATATTCAACGATATTCAATTAGATGGTAGGCTTTATAAAATTATGGTAGAATTTTTTTTTTTTTATAATATTTATTAATTGACTTTTAATATTGTATCAAATTATGGGAAATATTTAATTATAACTTTTTGCATTGTTTATGTACCTTAGACTTATAAGCAGATGAAATTAAATTACAGTTGTAGCCCAAAATTATGAGAATTATAGAATTTTTCAATCTATTGCTCGTAACATATATGTGTGAAATCTGCATTCTTCTTATGAAAATACAGAGGTGATCAAGGTTGATGCTTGGATCCTTAGATAAATGTAATTTGTTATAGATTTAGATTATGATACTAATTTAATATTTCTTATGTTTATGAATTCATAATATTTAGTATTTATCTCACGATCCTAGCTATTGTGAATTTATTTTTTACTTACTCTAATTAAGAGTTGAATGAAAGAATTAGCTAATATCAATTTAAAAGTTGTAACTAATCATAGGTTTATTGATGCTCAATTAATTTTGGCTTTAATCAACATTACTAAGATTCATTAAATCAATTTACCATTCAAATTTATAATTTTGTACCACATCTTCCTTAAGCAAATCAGTTCAACTAAACTTTTGATCGAATGATCATCGAAATGAATCTTATCAATATTTATAATTAAGTTATATCTATTATGATTGTAATTGATTATGATTCAAGTATAGTTAAGTTTTCTTAGGCAGAGAGCAATAATAATGAGTATTTTTATATAGAATTTACTATAATATATTAAAATCTCCAGACTCATTACTGATAAGAACAAACTAAATTTACTGTCTAAAAATTTGTTATGCATTTATTTAATATCAATTAAATTAGTATGAATAATGAAATTATTATTTTGATTGCCAAATAGAATGTGAAAAATTTTTAACCGCAGAATTCTTTTTAAACCTTATTTTATTGGTCTTATGATTATTGCATTTGTAAAAAAGCTATTCCTCTTGTCAATCAAATTCTATTTGATAAATTCATTGAAAATTATCGAAAGCTTTAATATANAAAATTGTTAGAAATAATTTAGTAGAAAAGGCTGATGTTTCTGAAGCAATTGACTTCATATATAAAATTGATGAGGATCAAGATGAAGAAAAAGGAATGTAGAAATGAGTGAAAGCTAATTTTTTATTTAATATTTGGCAAATTCTTTTTATTTTAATATTTTATTAATAAAGATAATTTTAATATGATTAAAAGTTTTAAAGGATTCAAACATCATATCAATCAATAAATTTTCAATGATAGTATTTTAATGGATTAAGAAATAAAACATAGTGAACTTAGTTACATATTATATTAATTAATAGAAAATAGAGACCCTAAAATGAGCAAAATTAAGATATCTTAAAAATAAAATAAACATGATATTTACTTACCCATTTAATTTGTTATTTATGTATAAAATTCTAAAATAAAGTGGATAAATCATGTTTAATTATAAAAATATTTTTAACCATCCACATCAATATAGCTAGTTTTCCTGAGCTTCAACACTTGTTTTTCAATTTTTTGTTCAAATCTATATAATTTTATGATACTTTTAAAATTTTTAAGAAAAACAAAAAATAATTTTGTTTTGCATTTCTTAATTGAAAAATATTGAACAATCCTTATACATTTTGATACTCTTAGATTATTAACTTGAATTATCTTTCAATTTTTATCCAAAGAAAAGTTAGTTGTATAATATAAAAATTCAATATAACTAATAATTTCAAGAATTAAAACTTCTTATTATTTATATAGTTTAGTTTCGCTTATAATCTAATGAAACATCCCTTCTTAGCAGTTTATTTTTATTTATAAGCTTGGATGAGTATGATTTTTAATGGAGCTATGCTTGGTTTAAAAGAACAAAACTTGATTCTCTTTTTTATTTTCAATCTCATATTTAATTTGTCGTTGCGCATCTACTGATAAAAATTATCTATAGGTTAATCTTATTAATTACAAATTCTTGATTCTCGCCATAAAAAAATTGTGAAATATAAAATGTTATAATAAATCATTGCAAATATTTCTATTTTTAAGCCTGATATATAGATTACAGATTTAAATTTGCAAATTATCTAGCTATTTTGATAAAACTTATTATGTAATATTTATTTAGATTTATTAAAGTCTTAATTTAATAAAAAATTAACCATTTTGAATTTTTAATATAATGGCTAAACAAAATTCTCAAATAATAATCATAAAGAGTTATTATTTAGCAAATTTGATTATTATATATTTAAGATTTCATTATCATTAAAAATATTTATGTAAAATAATCTTTTCATTATCAATGATTTATCAAAAAAAAACAATTTGATCTTTAGGATCGGTTTTTTCTTCCCAAAAATAATTATTCAATTTTGCAATTAAAATCTTCACATATTTTATTAATTATTGGTAGATATCAATTAATAAGTTTAGAACTAGAATCAAAGTAAAACAACCTACATTTATCCATCCTAAAATTGATGCAATGTCTTTGTTTTGATTTCTTTTGATAACTTCATATACTGGGAAAATCATAGTATTTAAGACAATCAGTATTTCTGTATAGAATATTTTGATATTTTCGTAATTGTTTTCAAAAGGCTTGTAAATTTAAATATAACAACAATAAATTCCAGATATACAGGCTGTAATAATGCTCTAAGCAGTGACAAGCTCTTAAAATACAACTAAATTAATAATGAATAAGGTTTTCTTTACTAATATTATAGTAAAATATTATTTAGATCCATTGTTATTTTGGCTTTTAACTCCTTCGATCAATATTGATAAGCTTTTCTTAACTTTACTCTTTTTACTTAGATATGAATAAATGAAAGTCAAAACGAATAGATTAAATATGAACATAATAAGAGCTAAAAATGAAATAATTTTATTTAGAAAAGTGTCAGAATTAAAATTGATCATTTATAAAATAGAGGCAAAGGTAATTTCATAAAAATTGGATGCTAAAATTCTTAATAATCCCGAAAAAAAAAAATATTAAAAATATTTTCTACTAATCTTTTAAAAGGAATATACAAATCTGGCTATTTTAAAATAAATATCTGATTCCCATAATCTATATAGAATGGCAGGTAAATTTTGATATTTAATGAGGAAAAGTAATTTATAAAAGATAAAAGAGAGAATATAATAGGCAAATCCAAGAAGGATCATAAATAGTAATGTTTAAAAGGTATCCAGAAAGTAACAGTTGATTTAATACTCTTTAAATTTCCATTTAGCTGGAATATTTGGGATTTAGAAATCAAAAATATTTTGAAAGGTATATGGTGTATTTAGATTAATGAAAATTGGGGTAAAAGAACCAAACTTAAATATTTCGAAATAAATTTATGTGATATTTGATATATGATAATTATTGAAGCATATCAAGGAGATTCCATAAAATTTCTAAATTACCACACAAAAAAACAATGCCAGCTATTATTAAAATGATTTATATAACCATTTGACTAAATTCTGCAGTCTTGGCAATAAGTGATTGTTGATCATCAGAAATTTTGTTAGGAGATTTTAACTCCAATTAAATTTCATTGGAATATAAGGTGTTATTTTATACATTTACAATGTCATTACTTTGAATTAATACTTTTAAAATAGGATTGGAAATAAAAGTTTTGAAATTGAGTAAAATTTTATATGCAGTATCAGTTAATTCTGTAGAGATTGGAGTGATAGGTTTGATTTCAAAATCATAATTTGAATCTTTGGTATTTAAAATAGTAATGATAATCATTTATTAAAATTGTTCATCTGTGACACCTTTAACATTCAAACGAATAGGTTCAGAGAAAGATAATTAGAATTCTTGAATACCAACGTTTGTTTTGGTTAACTTAGTAAGTATTAGATAAGGTATAATCATATAATTACAAATACTAAGATTGTTAATTGATTCTTAGCATTTCCAGTTTTATTCAACAAAACAATTACTATTGCATCCATCATTAGAATCACGATTACCATCATCACACTATTCTTCTGGTTTAACAAGATATCCATCACCACATACATTAAGACATTGAGCTCCATTTTCTAAATATCCTTGTGGACATTAAATGCATTATCCTTAGTAGCAATCAATACACTGTTTGTGACATGAATAGGAACATTAGTAACATCCATCATATTCTATAGAATTTCCATCATCACACTATTCTTTTCCTACTTTGTAACCATCCCCACAGATTGAAATACAAACACTATTTTCTAATTTCCATCCTTACTTTTAACATTCTACACAAAACCGACCATTACAAATATTACATCCTTACGGACATTAAATCTAACATTTATAACAACCGTCATAAGGTAAATAATTACCATCATCACATTATTCTTCTTTGGTTGTAACAATACCATCACCACATTAATCAATACATGTAATGTAAAAACATTTATTTAGATAATCATCCCATATACATTCTTCATTTGAATCATTTGTATTACAAGCCTCTTTAAATAAGTAATCTTAACATAATTTCTTTTAGGTACAACCTCCTTCCTATTGAACTGTACAATGAGGTAAATAATTAATACATTCTTCATATTTAGTTAATTAATTTAATGCAGTCTAACAAGTTTTTGTCAAACATTTATCGTTAACCCAAACACAAGGATTTAAATTTTTATCAAAAGGACAACCATCAATCATTTAAGCATCTTCACAAGCCTATCTTAAAATACAATTATAACCATTAGTTACACATCTTTTATCATAAAATATTGAAGCACAAGCTGAATCTATGGCATAATTATAATCAAAACAATCTTTAATGCGGCAACCACCTTTTTAACATGTAGAGAGGAACCCAAAACAATCAGAATGCGATTTTGCCATTGATGGACCATTCTCACACATCTTTTCCAAACAAGTATTTTTATCATTATCCCAAAAACAAGGTTTTCCATTTAAATTTTTTTATCCAGTACTGATACATTGATTATAAGTATACATCATACACAATGATTAACCAACCTCACATCCATCTAATTATTGATTTACTGTGCATGAATTATCAAGATATAATTAACAACTATAAGCTGAATATTCATTTAATTATGCTGTTGAACAATTCTTAATAGTACATTTATTTTAATTAATCATCCATTCACATGCTACATAGTTCTAATCAAATTAACATTGCTCTTTTTGTTAATAACTATCACAAGTTTATAACAATTGGCATCCATTTAGAGTTGTATTTACTGTGCAAGTCTATAATTTTTAGTTGCATCTATTATGGGTTGTATAAGACGCGTCCAAATTAATACATTCTAAATCAACACACTAATTGGATGAAGCTTAAAAGTAGCATAATTTTCCATATCTATCTTGATAGCATTAAGACTTCCAGGCAAAAGAACAAGAATATGGGAGGTCCACACATTAAATAATATCGAGTTTGAGTGTACAATTTTTATTTATAAAGTACGATTCACATTATTAATGAGTAAGATAAGTAATACCAGCCTAGGAACAATCTCCAACACATGAAGAACTATTTTAATTGAACTTACAATTTTAAAGCCAACTATCACAATCTGATTGTGATAATGAAATTGTTGACTTATTCTCACAAGTTTTTTCTATGCATTATTAAGTATTGGCTTCATCCCAAAAACAAGGTATTCCTTTTTTATTCTTTGTATCAAAGCACAAATCCTCTGTGAGATATTCGTTACAATCACCAACATTTTAACATTCAGAATCATTCCAAAAGCATTTTTAAGTAAAAATAATACAGTCAGTCTCTATTAAATCTATACAATTTAACAACATGCATTAATTTTCAGGTTGCTATAGCATACAATAAGGATGAAAATTAAAACAATCTAAATTACTATTACTAGCTAAAGAAACACAGATATTTTTACAAATACCTTAAACACTCTCCCAATAGCATTTTATACCATCTAGAGTACTAACACATGCATTTTCATAAGTGTATTCTTCACAAGTTTATTTTTTTACTGTGCATTTTTGGCTAAATGAAAAATATATTGTGGTTGAGACATTTTAATTGTTGCAATCTTCATGTGATTTAATTTGACTCATACTATTTGGACTGCAATATTTATTATAAGAGCAGCTAGTAGAGTTATATTGGCACCAATAACATCTAGTTGTTTAATATGAATTATAACCATAACTACTTTCACACTCAGATTAGGTTGAATAAGATGAACAATTTTTGTGATAACACCCATTACTCCAATAACAATTTCTTCCATCAACAAGACTAGTAGAATTACAGATTGATGATTCCATAACATGACCGCAGTTTGTAAAAGAACATCCTTATCCTTTAGTGTAATTTAATCTGCAGAATTGAGCATTTATTAACAAGCATTCAAGATCTGAAATAGCATTAGTGTTAACTTGGCAATTTACATATCTTACACATTTACTATCCTACCAATAACACTAGGAAAATGAATAACATTAATAGATTAATTAAATTTATGTGCAATCAGTGTAAGTTTTACAACCAATAGTATCAGGAACACAATTAAAATTCCAGTCATAACAACTTTTATCTGTAGCAGCCGAAGTTACATGCTCACATTTTCTGTTTTCACATTAATTGGTCAGGGAATTAAATCCACATTTTTACAATGAATTTTCATATAATCTAACAATCGATAAGTCACAGATTTATTTAGTAGCACTTTGTTGACTACAAGATGTAATTTATATACATCTCATTAAAGTTGTATCATATCTATATGTTGATGAATAATTCTGACATTCTGTTGTTCTAATTTGAAAATTTGTCGAAGAAAAGTTGAGTGTCTTTTCTGATATTTATTCTCTACAATAATAGTCACCATTAGTATAAATGTAACTACATAATTATCCTAATTAAGTTTTTATGTCATTACAAGCAGCTGAAGAACGATATTTATCGGAACAATATAAATCCCTTCTACACGAAATATAAAAGTTACACTTAATATTAAATTTCATGGTAGCATTGTTACAAACTTCATTAGATAAGTCTAAACAATTATTAATAGAATAGCATCCTAATCCACTTGTTTATAATATACATTATTTATTGTATAATTGACAAAATGCATGACTTGTACTGTTTCTGATAGAAATACATTCATTATTTGGTACACTTTAGCATGAAGAATTAAAATAATAACATTTCTAATTGTTGTAGGTGAAAGTTAAGTTACAAATTGTAGAATTTGTAATTTAGCTACAATAATAGGGTCTATTTTCACAACCAGGTCCATATGATCCATTTGAATTAATCTTTAATTGACACTAGAAAAATCTTTTAAATCTTAAACATTCAGCTTCAGTCTCAGCAGTTTAATTATCTACGCATTTTACGTCTATACATTTTTAATTGTAATCGTCCCATTTACAAGGTTATTATTCTCTAGTGATTACACAATGTTATTAATATGTATACCAATGACAGTACGATTATAGATTTGAACAGTGTCTATTAAAATTACTTATTGTACATGTAGATAAAAATTCTTCACAATCTTCATGCGTTAGATTTCCTAAGACTCTCTTATTACAATCTGGTATTCCATCATTATTATTATCTTCATTTTTACATTTTCCTTCAGAATCATCCCAATAACAATTTTACCCACTCAAATTTGTTCTACAGTTTCTTTTTCTGATATATTCATAACAATTAGTTTTTTTTAATTCACATCCTTCAGCTTAAATGGAGGAAATCACAGTGCATTTAGGATTCCAAGCAAAACATTTTTCATGATTATCATACATACTACTATTTGGAGAAGATGTGCAAATAAGTGGATTGGGTCGATTCCTGCATCCTCCAAGTTCTGAATTATAAATACAATGTTTAAGCCATTTATTGCATTAAATATTATCTCTATATTCATTTTTAGGAGCATCTGAACATTCTAATGTTTTACAATAACTTCCAGTCCAAAAACATAGAGTCTCATTTTTTAAATTTAATTAACACTATTCTTAATTTCCCATCTAATTACAATTAATTGGCCACGATTAACATCCAATTCGAGTAGAATTAATTATGCAAGAACCAGAAAAAACTTTAAATAATCTGCAATCCTAATTAGTCTTATATAAATTAGGATTTGCATCTGTGCAATTTTGATTTTCGCAGATTTTACTAGAATTATTCCATTTACAATTAAACCCTTAGATAGTAGTGTAACATTGATCTTGAAGTAATTCCTTACAATCATTCTTTTTATCTAAACATCCAATCAATATTTTAGTATTTTATAAAACTTAAACATTTACTGTGCATTATGGTAACCATTGTTCACATTTTTCATTTGAATCATTAGAGGAGGGGCAGTCCTACATTTCTTTTCTATACATCCTTAATTTAAAGTACAAACTGTGCCTAATGAATCTATTTAGCAATATTCAATTTCTTGAACATTATCACATAAATAATCAGTACAACCAAAAGAGTCTAGATTAAATGTGCAATATTGACTTGCCATTTAACAAATTTTATGATTCTTATAAGTTGGTAATTTCAATTTATTACATTCTAACAACATACAACTATTATTCAGCCAAATACATTTTTCTTTTTTATAATTAAGTTCACAGAATGGTTCTTCTAAAATCACATGATTAGGGTGTTACTTTGCATCCACCATTTAAATTACCAATACAATTACCATACTATTTGCAATCTTAAAAACTAAAGTGAACTGGAGCATGATAACATTATCTTTATTCACATTTGTTATTGTACCATACACAATCTTATTATTCTTTTGAATAACAATCCATTTCATTAACATAACCTTCACATGAAGTAGGTCTCTACTTACATCCTCCATTTTCAGAAGTAACACAATCTAAAAGATTATCATAATCCTAACATTATTAATAATTCTTTAATGACTCTGGAGCAGTATTACAACTTTTGATTTTACATTCATTTTAATGATATTCGCATTTGTTACCCTAAACATCTGTTACACAACCATATTTAGTTTTAGCATCACTACATTATTTCCTTTTTATACAATGAATTCCATTTGATGTACATTCCTTTAAATACGACTTACATTAATAATCAAATATAAATGGTAGATTTTAACAAACCTTTTCAAGACATTATTTATTTTAAGAATCCCAAAAACAATTTTAAGATTTTGATACACTCTCATAACATTAAAAATCATTTAAATATTAACTACATGATTCCTTCTACTTCATACAACCATATTATTTATCAGTTATTGTGCACTCATCTAAACCTTCTTTACACATTGAATGGCTAACTAACAATAATGGTAATTCTTCACAATTTTTTACATCTACACAATTTTTAACTTCTTAATCCCAAAAGCAATACTTACCTTTTTAATTTTTATTCATACATCCATCTTATGTGATGTAATTATTACATTCTAACATTTCAGCACATTTATTTCCATCAGAAACACATCTAAAAGAAGATTCTTAGCAAGTTTCGCTATTGAATATACTACAATTTATAAAGTCAATACACTGACCCAAATAAAACCCACATTTCTCCTAAATTCTGCAATCATCTTCTGCAAAATTCTTGCATGGATTTTCATTCTAAATTTCCTTGTTGTATGTTTGACCAGATCTTAAAACACATACATTTTTTTCCCAAAAGCAATATCCAGAATTCAAACATTCATTTTGACTATTTACATGCCCACAAACACAATTTCTTGGAGTCTCCTAACATCTTGTTAAAAGAAATTAAAGAAAAAAAACTATGATCAGCTTTCGAAATACCATATTAAGATTATTTTAAATTCTTTTTCTATTAAATTTTTTTATCACATACTAATAATTTGAATAAAAAATAAATTTGACATTAAGAATAGTAAAAATTGCACTCAATTTTTAGAAATTCTTTATATTTATATAATTGAATGATATTTTTGGTAGAGTTGCTTTTGATGAAATATTAAAATGGCAAATTTTCTTTCATTATTCAGTCTTTTGAATTTAATGAGCTAAATTTTATTTAATTAAAAATAATTAAGAAATAGAAAATTTAATTAATAGATTTTGTAGTTTATTATATCATGAAAAGACTTTTAATTATCATCTCAGACAGAAACATAAATATTTAATTGATCTTGAATTGATTCCCAAAAACTGATTGTAAATTTAAAATTTTCGTATTGTAATTTTTTTGCCTTGTCTTCGATTTAAATAATTGTATATTTCTGCTTTTTCCATGTCTTATTGAAGTCTTTAGAAGCTAATATTGTCTTAGATAATGTGAAAAAGCTCAGCAATAAATATCTCAGTTCTTACTTTCATCAAATCTGCTCTTAAAATTTATTTTTAATTGACCTGAGCTTTTCCAAAAAAAAGTAATTAAGATATTTTCTGTCTATATTAAAATCTCATTTATTTAGAATTTCTAAATAGTTGTTATTTTTATTTATTAGCAACATTGTTTTTCTTATTTGTAATTTCTATATTTATTTTTAATTATTAAGAGGTTATTCTTAATCGAATTCACAAAAGTTAATGAACTTTTTACATAAGTTGATTATATTGAAAAAAAATTAAATGAAAAAATAGCATCAGAAATATATATATTGATTATATTAAATTTTAATATTTTAATCTAATGACTTTTTTATACTTATTATTGATATTGTGTATAAAGTTTGCGAGTAGTTTTGAGACCATTAAAATGAATCCTACTAATCAATATTTAAGGAAAATTGTTGAATTGAATGAGAATGTATTAACAAGTAATAGTTGTTTAACATATGGAATCTGGTCAAAGTATAACCCTCTTAGTACAATCACTTAGATAGGAAAGTTTGGATTATTTGATAATTATTGCTTTCATTTGCATAATGCTATTGATTTGGAATCTAAAAGTTTAAATCTGATTTATTATGATTGTTTAGACTCTGTATCAAAGAAAATAACAAAAACACTTTTATTTATCAATAATCTTGAGGAATAGAATAGGTTTGAAATAATAATTAATCCATTTGATTATGAAAACACTTGGTTTTATTTATAAATTGTAGCATGGCCTTTATAAGATATATTTAAGTTGATAATAATGAAAAGAACTGAAATATAGTTTGAAACAATAAAATAAATGAAATACCCCTTTAAAGATACAAATTTAATATTATCTTTTGGAGGTAATTTTAGAGTACATAAATCAAAGATACATAATTTATATACAGAATAAATATTCTCATATTTCCCAGGGCCTATAATTTTATAAGACTTATCAATTTCAAGTTTACCATTTGATTTTTCATTTAGTAATTCTGCAAATAAAGTATATAATTAAATTAAGACCTGTGTTTGTTAATAAAATGGGAAATTGTTGATTGGGGATATAGATTTTAAGAATTAGGATATGAATACATTTATTTCTGATAATATAAATTGCGATTCCTTTATTTTAGTAGGATGGATTAAAGTTAAAGAAATTATCAATTCATCATAACAACTCACTTATCAACTAATCAAAATATCAACAAATTTATTAGATCCAAAATTCTAAAATCAAAATTTATCACCTTTTTAATTATTTTATCATATAAATACAGAAAAAAATGAAATAGAAATCGCTACCTATAATTATACATTTCCAGATGTCTCTATTGATTTTTCAAATAATCCTTTCTTAATATAGAAGAAATTCTAAATTCAAAATAAGATTAATCTATGGCATTATCTCAAAGTGGAATTATAAAATAAAAAACTTAATGTTAAAATAATATTTTATGAAGCTTAAAATACTTTTAATTATGATTCTAATTTTGAACTTTATTAGTTTCAGAATTGTTAATTTAAAGTCTAATATGGAAATTGTTTATAAACTAAAATCAATTATTTAAATATCATGATGAGAAATTTAGAATTTTATAATTGTTACAAAAAGCTTACTAATTTAAATTGTCACTATAGTTGTTTATAATGTGATGGTCCAACTAATCAGGATTGTTTATCTTGCTCTATAGAATCTTAAAGAATATATATTCCTGAATATAAAGTTTGCATTTGTCCATATAATACAATTGATAATCAAAATCAATGCTAAACATACAGACAATCAAATCTAAGATTAATAAAAGATTAAAATCTATATAAAAGTTTGAATTGTCATTATGGGTATTTTGAGATTGATGGAGAATGTGTTAAATGGTATAATTTTTATTATTAACATTTAGCCCATCAATAATAAGGAAATAATTTATTAGTTGTTTTGAATGTCTTAACAACCCCAAGTCATGGTATGAATATCCTAATTGCTAAAAAGCTTTTATCATCAAACCAAATATCACTGTTGATGAAGCATTCATATCAATTGGTTAAATCCAGTATTATTATGATGGAATTTTAATTAACCCCATTCATTATACTCATTCACAATATAGTAGACAAAATTTTTCAGATATCGATGGCATTTTTAAGGAATTTAAATTAGCCTCAAACTATTTTAGATAATTTTGCTAACAAATGGATTCTGCAGAAGCTGATTAATTTATTTGTTATGAATGTTTCCTATAAAATTGTTAAATTTGCTCATTGACTTTAACTACTTTAGAATGTATAAAATGTTATGGTAATTATAAATTAATAAATGGCTAATGTAAATTATAATCTCAAATTAATTAGAAAAATGAACTCATTTGTTTATCCCCATTTTATTATTCATTTGAGAAATAATGTAAAATTTGTGAAATAAAAAATTGCATATATTGTTTTGAATACTCATTAAATGATTTTAATATATGCTCATTAATTAAAGTCTTTCAATTTAGTTTAAGTTAGCTATCTGATATCAAAATAGGCTGTGCACTTTGTGAAGAAAACTATATATTCGATTTTACTTTAGGGTTATGCTTAAAATAAATTCCTGAGATATAAAATTGTTTAAGATCTTATATAAATTTATAGAGTTAAGAAGAATGTGTCTCATCAATGAATGACGACTTTTCTATTTCACCCGAAATATCTCATTGCTAGAAATATATTGAATATTGTAATTTATGCTCTATAAATATCGAAAAATAAATTACCTGTGTTGCATGCTCAGATAATTATATAATTGAAAATAATAAATGTTATTAGAATGAAGAATTTAATATAGAGAAAAACTTAATCTAAAATTAGACAAATAAAGTTTAAAGTTTTATTCTTTAATTTGTACCACAATTGAAGTCAAGTATTTACAATGAGTTTTTAAAATCATCTAATATCTTTGAATAGAAATGTGATCCAGAATGTATTTTATGTAATTAGAATGGTTCTTATTGCAAAGTATGTCCATTAAACTATTATAAAAAATATTTTATGACAGAGGAAAGTGATAAGTGTTCCTATTGTCATCCATTATGTGAGGCATGTATAACTCGTTCTGATGAAGATTTACAAGTAAGAATATTCAATATCATAAATAGCTTAATTTTCCAAATTTCATACTGAATGAGGAAAATTAAATTTACTCTAAAAAATGTTTAATACCATATTCTGATCCTTCCATTTTTTATGATCATTATTCTGAAATTGTGAGTTACTGTTTTAATTATGATTGTAAATATCAATTTATTTTTGATATTTCATATATCTCATGTGATTTTACAAGACTCAATAGATTTTATGAATCAACAATCAATACTTAATATTGCAATTAAATTGGAATAGATTCTTTAACAGTTAATTTAACTTTTTAAATTTTATAAGAATCATGCTTTCTATTTCTGCCATTAAATTTCTCGACTCAATTAAAACAAAAAGTATTTACTTTAAAAAGAGTAGACCTCAGATTATAATCACAAAAATATTTATAAATTTCTTTATTTACCAATAATTCATTCCTAAATTTTGATTAAGTCGAAATTAACAATTTAGGTTTTGTGATTGAGGCTGACTAATTCTTTATATTCCAAAATGGTAAGAAGAAAATAGATTTAATACTTTCAAATTTTATAATTAGTCAAAGTTTATTAAAGAATATGGACTCCTTGTTCATAGCAGAAGTATTTGGCAATATTATTTTAAATAATATTACTATAAAAAATACTACCTTTATCAATTCCTCAATATTTAATTTTTAATCACGTTAAATATAGGGAACGATATAAATAACAAATTTATAATTTATAAATTGCACATTTATAGAATCAGCATTATTTAAATTATCAAAGATTGAATCCATAATATCTTTAAAAAATTTTATTTTAGATTAATCTCTCTTAAGTAATTCATCAATCTTTAATTTTTTGATAAGTTATTCCTCATAATAAACGTTTCTAAATGCAGTTAATACAATTATCAGAAACAGTAATTTCTCCCGATCATATTTTATAAACTGTTCTAATTAAATAGAAGTAAGTATAAATAATTTTCAATTTTATTAAAACCTATTAGAAACCTCTGTTACTCTATCTGTTAGTCATAATATTTTACTGACTTAGATAAATATTTATCAAAATATATTTTCTTTCTCTTAATTCCTTTCAATAACTTAAATATTGTTGAAAAATTAAGTTATATGTACTGTTAATAATTTTGAAGCAAATTAAAATCATTTTTAGGCATCCAATATCATATTGATATTTTCAGCATTTTCAACAAATTCGCTTTTAATACACTTTGAAAATTTTACAATAATAGAAAATTACAAATCTTTTAAAAATAATGACATTATATAACTTTTTTGCATGAATAGTTAATAAATTCATTTATCAAATTTTATAATCGTCGATAATCATGATTTAATGATATTTTACTTGTCCGAAAATTCTTAATTATCAATTACTAATATAACATATTAAAACTCCATTTAGAATTTTAAAATTCCTTTATCCTTAAGTTTTTTAATAACTAATAAAACAAACAAATTATTATATATTTTTGGGTTTACAATTATTTACATAGCAAATATAAAAGTCTAAAATATTTTGAGTATTGATATACCTATAATCTAAATTAATCCAAGTTAATCTAATTAATCATAGGTTCTTCATCAAATTGAGATAATTAATGTTACATTTACTGAAAATATCCTCATTTAATCTAACTTAATTAATCTGATTTCTTTATTAATTGTAGAATCAGATAAAATGGCAAATATATTTCTTTAAAATATAAAATATGAAGAAAACTTTTTCCATTCTTATACTAGCACTGAAATAAGTGAAACAGCAAGTCTTTTATATATTTCCTCATCATTAAGTCGATTAAGGGTTGAAAATTTTCTTTGTAAAAATAATGCATTCACAAATTCTTCAAATGCATTTATTTCAATAATATCAGCTGATATAATGCTTTACAATTATACTATAAATAACCACAATTTTCTATCTTAATAATTATGGACTAAATATTATGAAATATAATTCAATAAAAGTGTAAATCAATAAGATCTAAATGAAATTATTTTCTTAAGTTTACAGATCAAAAATATTGGAGGAGCAGGATAATTTTCAGTTTAAAATATTTCTTGTTTAAGTTGCGCATTTTCACAAATTCTCACTATGTAAAGTTCCATTTTCGATATAACAACTACTGAAAGAGGTTTAATATATTTAGAAAATATTACTTTAGATTTAATAGAAAATAATTTATTATCAATTGAAAAAGGTTCAGGATGCATTAGTATTTAATCATCCAATAGTGAATTGAATCTAAAGGTAGTAAACGCTTATTTTTCAAATATTTTTAATAGAATGGCACCTTCTATATTTGCTATTAATCCCTCCAATTCTTAAAACTCAATCATACTAAATAATACTTAAATTGTAAATTGTATTTCATTGCTCAATTAAATAATAAATGTTTAATTCTCATCTTCTAAAGCTAAATAGAATATAATAATCATAGAAAAAATGAGAATTATTTAAAATTATGATGCATGGCTGGTTTATTTCTAAAAAGTTAGAGATTTATTAATCTAAGAAATTACAGATACTAGCAATAGTTAGAATTCTATGATATCTTTTCAAAATTGCATAATCTTGATATAAGATTTTTTTATAGAAGGAATTGTTATTAATTCTATTTTTTAATTTAAAAATTTACCTAAATTATAACTTTATAATGTGATAGTAGATTAAATCTAAATGTTATATTCATTCAATTTAATTTAAGTAACGTAAGTCTAGTAGATTAAATCTATGATTCACATAGAACATTTAGTAATAAAAAATACTTTGCTTTACAAAAATGATGTAAAATCTTTTTCAGATTATTTATAAAGAACATATGATATTCAAGGAAGCAAAATTATTTAATAATAATCTGAAAATATTTCGAAAGATTATTTTTATTTAATTGTTAATACTCTTTAATAAAATAATAATTTAGAAAGCTCTCTAATGTATTTTAATAGTATATCTAATCAAAATAGGTTTTATTTTAAAGATATCACATTAGAACATAATTATTGTTCATAGTTCATTAAGGGGCTCTTTTCTGTTGAAATTTTTGATTTTAGATAGATTTAATTTTAGAATTTCAATTGTTTTTTTAATTCAATAAAACAATTTGGATGTCTAGTTTTTTCTTCATAAATTTATCTTAAATCAAAAATATTAATTGTAAATTCTAATTTCCTTTTTAACAATGGAAGTCAAGGTGTTGGTATTACTGCTCAAAAAACAGTAATATAAATGAAATAGTGTGTAATTATTAGCAATATAGCATTATCTTTTGGAGGAGGTTTATATCTGTAAGTAAAATCTTCTGACTTTATAATCAAAAAATCGATTATAATTGGAAATTCTGCTACAATAGGAGGGGGAATTTATTTAGATGAGGATTGCAATTTAAATAATAATAATTTTAATGAATCCTTATTGTAATTTAATACTGCTGGAGAATACGGGAATAATATTAAGGAAATACCAAATCATTTAGCTTTTATAATTAATTATATAGAGAACCCTTCTAAATCTGTTCTGCTAAATAATGAATGGATAAATAAGTTAGATCTAAAAAAATACAGAATGATAGAATAAGGAATCTAAATCTTTGCTAAAGATCTATTGATACCAAGCAATTAGGTATTGAAAACTTTTCAGATTTTTGACATACATAATTCAAATTTTAAGCCTTTTATTAAAGATATTAGCTTGTATTTTAAAAATAGTAAAAATGAAAAAATGCATAATTTAGTGAATTCATCTTGTGTAGTAAAAGAATAAAAAATAGCAAAAGATTAATAAGAATTATTAGATGGATAAGCTAACTAAATTTTATTCTTTGATAATGAAAAAAATTCTATTGATTTTGGGTCATTATCATTTAGTTTGAATCCATATTAAGAAAATTACAGTCATCTACAGATTGAAATAAGTTGCTAAATAAAAGAGTCAACATAGAATTTGAAATATATTGTAAATGCAAAGAGCCTAAAATGTTAATTGGGAGAATTTTATGTTGATAATGGATGTCAAATTTGTTAATCAAATTAAGGATATTATTCTGTTTCATATAATGCAACAAAGTGTTCTATTTTTGATAAAGATAAATACTCTAATATTACTTCAAACATGATTTAATTGCTTCAAGGATTTTGGAGACCAAATAATTTTTCTGATTATGTGGAATCTTGTTTCAAGAATCCTTTATTTTGTAATGGTGGATGGTAAGTATCACATTCCACATGCAGCTTAGGGCATATAGGAGCTTTATGTGAAGAATGTGATATTTATAACATTAGGGGACATGGGATTTATTTCAAAAATTCATGGGATTAAAATTGTTTAAAATGTTAATTTTAATGGAGCAATACATTACCAGTTTTTATTGGCTGTCTTTGGTATATTATTTTTAATAATAGTAATAGGACCTTTATATCAATTACAATGTCATTAAGAAGCATTTCTAGATCTAATTAATTATATAAATCCCTTATAATTGCGTAAAGATTTAGTAAAATACTATTTAAATTAAATTAAGGTAAAATATTATCAATAAATTTAAGATCAAGAAAGCATTTAATTAAAAATGATGATAAATTACATATGGATATTTAGTGTCATTTTTACATTTAACATCAAATTTTCGTTTTCTTTACTTTTTATTGAATAAACTAGTGATACTTCTTACTTTATAGCAAAAGATTTTGATTGTTAAATATCTTCTATTGAATAAATTCATATCGTTTACTTGAAAATATTTACAATGTTAATCTTTATGATTATCTTGTTTATCTTAACAATATCTGGATCAGTATTTTATTCACTAATTATGAAACAGAAATATGATATAAGTCTACTTTCAAATACAGCTCTCTACTTATATGTTTTTAATTATGCAGGATTAATAAAGATGTATTATATAATTATTTAATAGGTTTTCATCTTTGATTTCTAAAAGAGAAATATCCAATAACTATTACATTTAGGGTGATGTATCTTAGAAATATGGAACTTAAGATCATTATTTTTGGTTATATTCTTTTATTATTCCTGGATTGTTTGTTATAGGTGGATTGATTCCTATCTTAATATTTATTCTTTTGATATTTAATAAAACTCGTTTAGAAAAAATTAAGCTAAGAAGACACATTTGTTATTTGTTAAATGAATACAAATAGCAAAGATATTATTGGGAACTGATTAAACTATTTAAGAAAACAATTATTATATTTATAATGGCAAATTTTGAAACAGATATAGTATTAAAAGCATCATTACTAGGATTGTGTTTATTAACATATCAAATATTGGCTACATTTAATTAACCATACATTCTTTAAAAATATAATATTTTAGACTTATAAACCAGTCAAATTTGTTCAATTACTATATTTTTAGCTATAACTAAATACATTTGTGAATAAAATAATTACTTGCCATACTCTATGATGCTTTAAACTTTTATCATAGGACTTTTTATAAAACTATGTTATCCATTTATATTTGGAATTGCTAGAAGTTACCATAAAAAATATAAATTCTTTTTCTTGAATAAATTACATTTTCTTCTAAATTAGAAAATACCAAATTTCTTTCTTACTAAAATTTTAATGAAAATGTTAGATAAATAAAAATTAAAGGAATAAAAATTGAAGAATAATATAACTAAATTGAAGAACCATTTAATTTATTTCTCAAAAATATAATTAAGAAACTCAAAATAAATAATGACAGGTTTCTATTAGAGTTCATAAAGTTCAAGAATTTAAAGTGTAAAATCAAGTAGAATAGGTATTGAAAAATTATATTTTGATCATATTGAAGAAGATGAATTTACTAAAAGATGAATGAAAATTTTATATAAATTTTATGAATATCATTAGATACTATTTATTTTATTTATTTAAATTCATATCTAAAAATAACTCTAAAATTGTTTAATTAGTTAATAATGTTAATATTTAAAATTAAAATAATATTTAATATTTTTATCTTAATTAACCTTCAGATTTAGGAAACCTTTGCTATAGACGGTAATTCATAAAGAGGATTTCTTCTTCTGAGTTAAGAAATTAAGATATTATTTTGCAAATTATAATCCAGATAATTTTGAGCTAAATGGAATAGTCTCAAAATTCATATTCGACTTTTCATTTACGAGCTTCAACTACTACTCTCTATAATCGATAATTTTTTCACTTGGGTCATTAAGAATTTTTAATCTAAAGAAAACGCTTCAACACACAAGTCCTATTTTTCTGACTATTTTTAACATTTTATAAGATATTTGGGAAATATTTTAAAATCTTTCCTCTGACATTGTCTAAATTTTCTGAATATTCATCCGCTTTCTCCTTTTTTAATTAACTTAAAGCAAATCTAAATATCATTTCTATATAATCTTAGATTATATCTAATAAACAAACTGTAAATTGATGATTTCAAGTACAAAGAAATAAGGACTTTGAATTTCTAATTAATCTTATTTTGGTATGCAATTGATTTATCAAACTTTAAATAGCTTTTTATAAATTATTCGAGTAACTTTTTTAATATTAAAATAAATTTTGGCTAATTTATCTTAGAAATTCTTTTTTATGAAATCATTACAGATAATCCTATTCTTAATCCTTTAGAAATTAAACATATTGAGGTAGAACTATAATACTAATTTCATTGAGAGTATTTGAACTATAAAGAAGAGATCTGGTAGTGATTTCTAAGTATACTTATATTACTTAAATCAATTTGATTAGTATACAGTCTTAAAAATAAGTTAAAAATATGATTATTAATTCTTTTTAGGTTATTTTAATAACTTCCCAATAAAAGACTGTTTTTGTATAAAAATAATTAAATTAAAGTCTAGTAGATTTCTTCTCTAAATTATTTTGATTTAAAGAGCTCATAAAGGAAAAAAGAAGGTATCAAAAATGAAGGAAGAGTGATATTGGTTAACATAATTATAACATCCCCTTTTGATGATAATAAGTATCAGATCTATGAGCAACATTTACCAAGAACAATTTATGCCGAGATATTTAAGGATATGAAATAAGTTATATAAATCCTCCATTTAAACTTGGTTATAAGTAAATGTAAATAAAAGAAGTTGTCATAACACTTTTATTTAGAATTACTACTTTTTAGAATTTAAAATATTCACTAATTTTTTTACCTCTATAATGAAAGGCGATTTAAAAAATCTAGTTTTTATCTTCAATATAAACTGTATCTGATTCTAGATTTTTTCCCCATAAAATTAATGGATAGATAAATTCATAATAAAAAATTTTATTATTTTAAAATAAATTTTAAGACATAGGTTATTTTAGCCTTCTAATTTAGATTAAACTCTTCATCTGTTAACTTTTAATTGAATTTTTTCAATATTCAGCTTCATTATAATAAAGATAAATTTAAATAGATAATTTCCTTCAGCATGCAATTCCTTAGAGCCAATTCAAATAACTGTCTAAATCAAAATCAAAGTCATAAATATCATTTTCATAACTTTTAAGGCATTAATCTATAAATTCTATATATTTTAGTTGTTAAATAAAAGATTAATTTAGTGAATTTAATACTATTATATTTGTCTACATAAAGCACAATATTTTTATACAGACATTTTATAAAATGCTGAATTACCTGTCTTGATATCGCATAATGCATTTAATGCATTAATTACGGCCATCCACATAGATATATTTTAAGCAAGTATCTGAACAAGCAGGTGTACACAGATTGCTTACTAATTTATATCTTTATAAGCAAAGTGAGCTGCTTATGATGTAATCTTTTATCTCTTAACTTTGAGCATATTATTAAAATAAATGATCATCATTTTAATTAATAATCACCTAATAAAATGTTTTAATTTAAATTTTCCATGAATCTTCTAATAAAATGTATTATTATTAACATTAAAAGCATTTCAATTCTTTTGGACATGAATACCACTTACCAGTTATTCTTTATTCATAATAATCAATAATGCATTTGGACATAAATCAATTGTATTTTCCTTGCAATTAGCTGCATCAAAGAAAATATAATACTTTGAATCATCTATACATTTGAAACATTTTAAATAGGATTATTAAATTTTAGGATCATCGAAAATCTGAAAATTTTTATCATTAGCAAACAATTTCCAATTTAAAAATACTATCTCCGTTATTAATATCCTAATTATAGTATTACTAAGAAGAAATCCTGAAAACTAAATAAGCCATTCCATCAACAACCTTTTGTAAAATCATACTTTATCCAACCAGAAATGGTATATCAATTTCCTATTTGGTTAATTATTGTAGTTGTTAATGTACGTTCTTAAAATATTTTTAGTCCTTTCACTAAAAATATTATTTACTCTTATTAAATTTATTTCGAAACTATATAAAATTTAAGGATATAATCAAAAAAATTAAATATCGAATAATTGAATCTTTTAATAAAAAGTTTAAAAACCTTCCATTAAACACATTTAAATTGAATTTTCAGCATATTAATAAATTACAATAAATTATTACCAACCCACTATATCTTCAAAAGGTATAAAGAGGAGTTCAATCTGTCTTCATAATAATTTTACTTTTGGCTTGAATATCAATATATTACTTAATGATAGATACAAAAATTAGAGAAGATTTATTAAATTTTTTCTTTAAACTCAATTTAAGTATTAAATCAAATTTTTTAATTTAAATTAGGATATTTCTTGGAATTGCATCATCGAATAATTCACTACAAATTTAATTTATAGCTAGACTATAGCGATGATATTTAAATAATAACGGTTTAAATTTGATTTAATCCGATTTCAATTTCATCAAAAAAGGTTTCATTCCACTTAAAAGCCAGATTGAACAAAGATTATTCGAATAAGTAAAAAACAAAATAAAATACAAACTTTATTGATTTTCTAATTTATCATAAATCAAAAGGTTAATTGAGAAAACCTATCTTATAAATCTGACACTTATTGATTCATATCAATTTAATTTTAGCCTTATATTAATCGGATTTTAAGGAAATTTAATATTTGAAGAGATAAGTTTGTTCATTTGCCGATTAGGTCTGTTTATTAGATATCGTATGAATATTTTTATTGGGTTTATTATATAAAAGGCAATAACTTTATTCGCTATTAATATATACTTTAATTATCCTGTTATCCTTAAAAATTCAGCTTCTTTTATTAATTTAATATTTTTGGATTTTATGTTAAAAAAATAGAGTTTATTTCAACAATTATCTTTTAATATATTTTATATTTATGTAAACTTTTGAATGAAAAGCCATACACCGCGCATCGCACAGAGGTCAGTGCAACCGGTAGATTATCGGAGGGTCCAAGTTCAATTCTTGGTGTGGGGGTTTTTATTTTTTTTAAATTTACTTCAAAATCATATTTTTAGTATTTGATAATTTAATTTTAATAATCATTTATCATTTATTATTATTATTATTTTTTTATGATTTAGGATAACCTCTTATTTGGATAATTTCTATACTTATTATAACTTGAATTTAAAATCATTAATTAATAGTGGTTATGAAGTTTGTTAATAATTCAATTTTAACAGTATATGATTGCTTTAAAAATCTTTAAATAATTTCATTTTATTTACCTAGTATCTCAAATTATTTTCATTTATATTTATTTTCTATTTCCTAATGAAGATATTTCTATCGAAACCTTATTGATTTTCATCAAGAAATTTCCTAATCTAAAGATAAGTGAATGTTAGGTATTTTTTGCCTATAATCAGTAAACTTTCTTAATCGAGATAATTTAATTAATTTCTGATTTTATAATACTTATTAGTTTCATTAGCAATATGAATAAATTCCTGTGAGCTTCACTAAAATTGTAAACTTATGTCTAAGATACTATTCGTGATTATCTTAGGATACAATAATATAGAATATTTTTATTAATGCTACAACAGCATGATCAAAACTTACTAGAAAAAGATATAAGACTCAAAGGGATTAGCTAAAAAATGGTTTTCAAATAAAACTGATACCTGAAGTTCTAGGATAACCTCGACTTTTTGAATGATTTACATGGCGAAGTTTAAAAGAAAATTGTTTTTCAATGTATGAGCTCTTTGATGTTTAATGTTTAATAGATAAATAATTTCAACTATTTAGTGTCAATCCATTTTCTTATCCAATCTATTGGCTTTTTGAAATATAAGGCTCTTCTTGCATATTTGCATTTAAGAAACCATCAATTGAGTTTGCAATTGTCCCATAATCCTAATGCGCCATAATTATTTTTTTATTCTAAGAAGATTAGCTCAAGATAACCTTATCTGTATTGAATCATCATATGATGTGTTAGTCATTCTTCATCTTCTCGTATTATGGGATCTAAGGAAGGGAACTTCATATCCTCATCAGCATGTATAATTATTCTACCTTTTATTTTTTATCTTAATATTTATGAGAGATATTTTTATGATGGATTCGGATTGGGTATTTATTTAAAATCATTGTTATAAAATCTTTTAAAAAATCTTCCAAATTATTCTTATCTTATGTTAACTAGTGAATGACCTTATAAAATATATATTTTCTTTTATTAAATTACTATAAGATTAAGTCCTTTTTCTTGACATATACTGTCTCCTTATATTTTATACAAAATTTGTTCTGAAGCTTTAGAAACAGATTTTTAAATTAATGAATAGTCCTTATATCATTTCGTTAATCTATTTGAAAGGATTTTATACCTCTAGCGCTTTTGAGTAAATTATTGGTTCTTGACACTTTCCTGTATTATAGGTATAATTCTTTTGTTGTTTATTATGTAGTGAAAAAAAATCTTTGGTGATAATAATACAAATTTATTTAATAAATTCATGATTGATAATTTTACATTATTCTGGTACTTCCAAAAGTTATAATTGCTATCTAAGTAATATGGAATCAATTTATTTAACTTGTTTATAACCATCATTTAATTTAACTGAACAATCTAATATACATTTATATATATTTATTTAATTAAATGTTATTATAAAATAATAATGAGCCTCAATTTTTTTTTTGTTTTTGATAAATAATTTTATGCGAAAACAGTAGCCATTTAAATCAATTGGTGCTATGAATAATCAAATCTGCAGGATTTATGACAACAAGCAGATAGTCTAATTGATATCTAAAACTTTCTATCCATTTCACCAGACTATAATTTAGGAATCGGTTAAGATGAAAAATAATTAAATAATATAAATTAATATTTTAATCATTCATAAATATATTTTGATTGTATTTATATATGAGAATATTATTATCAATATTTAACACATAATTTTTTATCATTTATTTATTTATAATTAAAGAATTATAAAATAGAATCTATATCTGGTGAATGGAAACAATTTAGCAGAAATATAAAACATTGTTCTTCGATCAGAATCTTTTAATATCATATAAAGAGAAAGATTTAATGTTTAAATTTAGTTGATAGAAATAATGATGATCTTTTCTAACTATTCCATTAAGCCTAATTTTGAAAAACTAGTTTTTTTGGAACCACAAAAATAGTTAAGATAAAGTACTAAATTGGCTTGTCTTACTTATGAAAAAATTTAATTATCATCTGAAAATATTTTGAAAAGCCTTATTAAAGATAACTACTTAAACATGAGAATTAAATATACAGTTTTGTGATTTATTTTAAGTTCAAAATTTTTCACACTTTAAGTTTTATTATAAGAGTTTCTTTGAATAAATTAATGTAATTATTTTTTTTTAAAATCATAATCACAAAAAATTAATTTTTTAAAATCCTTCCAAAGATAAATCCCTTCAAATTTCAATTTTAGGAACAAGTCTATCAAAAAATCTAAAAAGATTGCATTATTAAAATATTTTGTTGCATTAATCTAAGTAAATATATTACATGTGTATTGATATTTTAGGCAATATATTTCCATAATATGCTAAAAACTTAAATTTCATATTATTTCTATCATATAAATGAACAATTTCAATGATATTAAAATCTCCTCCAAAAAAAGTATTTTTAAATGTCCTTTATTTTAAAAATTTTTAATTGAAATTCCTTTAATTTAAAATCTTTGGCTAACATACTTGCTCTAAACCACAGGCAGAGTCAACCCAAAGAAGTTGGGCTAAAATTAGATAAAGGGCATTCAATATTAAAAAATATCATATATAAAATATCATAGTGTTTGCGGACATTCATCAATATACAAAGAAAAAAATATCAAATTTTTTTTTTTAATTTAACCAATATTATTAAGTTTACATTGAATCTAGAAGCAAGTTGTCATTATGAAAGCATCGATAATATAAACACAAAAAAATAATATTTAGTCATTTTTATGCAGGTTTTATTTATAATAAGAGTTCAATAGTTCATATTTAGTTACTGTAATTGGAATTTTATTTTATAAATAAATGAAATAATTTATAATGGACAAAATATGTATAATAAATCTCATTATAATGCATTCTTTTTTTCGTTGATAAGAATTTTTAACTTTATAAATTATTTATTTTTTATTTTAAGATGTTTTTGTTAGACTTTTATTAAGCTTTATCTTCTTACTTTTCTCTTTTTTATTTAAATTATTTTCTATTATTTTTCTTTACTTAAGGTATTTCCTTTGTTTATCTATTTCATCACTTTCAAAATTTCCTTTATATTAAATTTCTCTTAAATACTTGAAATTTTCTCTTTTTTTCTATTTACCCATTAATTACAACATAGATAGTTATCAGATAATTAAGAGTAGGTTTAACATAAATTATTACACAATTTACAATAATAATTAATTTCATACGAGCGATTTTGAAAAACGCATCAATTTTTGGACAATACTTGTTGTTCTATTTAATTTCATGAAGTATTAACTAATAATTTATTACATGTTTTCATGTTTTAATCATAAAACTAAGAAGCTTATAATAGACATCTTTGCAAATACATTCATTATCAATTAAAAATTGATTAAATCTTCATAAAAAGTAAAAAAATTTGAAGCATTTTTACACTATTGTTATGTCATAAAACACATGGTATAGTTTAATTTTTTGATTAATATTGTTGCAACTATCGCTATGAGCATCATTAATGGAAAAAGGATTTTACATTTTCAACAAATTATTATTTAAAATTATTCAAATAAATAAAATAGAATTCTATGAAATTGATCTAATTGCATAAAATTAAGGATAAAGATTAAATTATATTGTAACAAGGTATGTAATTATAATTTTTATTATTATTCATATATCAAGAAGCACATCAAAACTTTTCTATTAGATATTTAAGGTATTGAATGTTTATAATGAATAACATTATAAAAAAAGACTTAGACATGCTAAAAAGTTTACTATAATCATAATATAACCAGGGTTGTATTAAAATTTAATTTTTATCGCTATATGTTAATTTTATAAAGATTCAAAATTGACAATACATAATTAGCAATAGGTTGAGATATACTAATTATAATACATTATAGCTAAAAATATTACAGGACATGCTCCTGACCATCTTGATTTGATAAATTGGATCGTTGCATCTGTAAATGCAAATTCTTTAACTGTTTAAGTATCATAGTTTATTAAGTTTCATTTAATATTTTCATAATAATCCATCCAAATTTAAATTAAATATTCTCTAATTTTCTATTTAATTCATGAACAAAAGATGTACAATTTGTGGCTGATGTTGAATCAATATAACATGGACTTGAGCAACTTTAGTATAATTTATGTGTAGATTGACTATTTAAGTGAGATCTAATTATCGCTGTACTATTTAAACTTATAATAATTTGATTGTTAAGGTTTTTTCATATAAATATAATTAAAAAGTCAAAATGTGTTTTTATGTACATAATATAGAATAAATTTAAACCTGTTTTATCACAAACTATCCGTTTCTATTTTTATAAAGTTTCTATTAATATTTTCTATTGAAAAATATAAAAATAATTGATTTTATTAATATTGTTATATATAAATGGGAAATAATTCTTGCATAGATTGTTCTAGAAGAAATAAACTTAAGGAAATAAACAATGAAATATTTGAAGGAATCTTAGAATAGGAGTGTTTACTTTGGGATATTTTTTAAAACAGATTTCGAAGGACTAAGTTCTTTGTGACAAAACCTAAGAATAATAAAATTTCTTATATATCTGATAATGGATCAATTATGCGGATGTAATCATTCATTTAATACGAAAATTAGTGAGCAAATTAGAGACCAATAACTTTAATAAAGTGAGATTCTCACAAATATAGAACAAATTAAATTCCTTAAATGGATAGGTCAATATGGAAATAATTAATAAAAAATTGGAAGGTGGAAAGCATTTTGGCAAGGTGAATCTTTAATTGGCATTGGAGGAATATACTCAGAAGATGGATAAAAATAAGGATAATGGAATCTATTATTCTAAAATTACACCAAGTAAACATAATTTTTATTTAAAAAGGGAATTTTAAGTGTGTGAAAGTGGAGAATATTTAAATGATTAGAAAATTAAATTATGGAAATATACTCTTGGAAATGAAGAAATGTTATTTTTAACTAATATATTAGTGGAGGTGGATTATATGACAATTAAGGAAAGTAAGGATAATGGATTGAATTGGCCAATAATTTTTAAGTGTAAATAAGAAAAAATTTAATGATTAGTCACAGTTAAATCACTTTAATTGGTGAATATAAAAATGGAAAGAAAGTAGGCAGATGGGATACCTATCACCGGATGAAAAATCAACAATAATTTTAACTAATGTACAATACTATATGAATAATTTTTTTCTATTTTAGTGGTGGCGGAACTTATGATATTTAAGAAGGAAGTAATTCTTTTAAAATAGGAATATGGAAAGAGCCTAGTGAGGGATTTCATAGGTATGTTTTTCATTTAAATTAAATATTTTAGTCGGAATAAAGTCATGTACGAAGGATAATATAAAAATGGTATCAAAGTGGGAAGATGGGAAATTTAAATGATTCAAGATACTGGAATGATGATGAAAATGTAAGTATATTTCTTTTAATTTTTTTTTCTCAAATAAGTGGTGGTGGAGAATATGATGATAAGTAAGAAGCCAATAATCATCTTAGTATGAAATAGGGTAAATGGCTTGAGTTGAATGATTTGCTTCAAATGTACATTAAATTATTATGATTAGTTCGAGTCAAGTCATTTATTAAGGTGAATATAAAAATGGTTTAAAAATTGGTAGATGGGAAATCTACTGGAAGGATGATGATGATGGTTCTTTTAATTTGATGTAAATATTATGATTAACATTTATTTTTTATAAAATAGTGCTGGTGGATTGTATAAACCAAAGTTAGATGATTAATTTTCTGGTGATATTAAATAAGGCAGATGGGTTGAATTAAGTGAGGGATTTAGGAAGTATTTTTGATTTATTCTTAATTTTAATTAGTTCAAGTTAAATCACTTGGAAGGGTGTTTATCAGAATAATAATAAAGTTGGTAGATGGGATATAAGTTTTCAATGGGAAAATTAGTAAATTATAAATTTTAAATCTTTATTAGTGGAGGAGGATCTTATAATGAAGTTGATGCTGAGTTGATAGTCAAAGTTGGAAAATGGTTTGAATTAAGTGATTAGTTTTCTAAGTTTTAAATATTGTCTATTCTCTAATTGCTAGAAAACATTTAGTCGTTCATAAAGGAGCATATAAAAACGGTAAAAAAGTTGGTAGATGGAATGCTTTTTGGAGTTCATAAATGATGTAGAATTATATTATAAAAATATTTTTACAAGTGGTGCTGGATGCTATGATGAACAAGGTAATGGCATTAAGATTGGGAAATGGATTGATTTGGATGATAGATATTTTTGTTAGAAAACAGTAATTTATAAAGGTGAATATAAAAATGGTAACAAAATTGGTAGATGGAATGCTTTTTGGATTTCAGGATTTGAAATGTAGATATAAATTACATAATTATATTTATAGAGGTGGGGGATGCTATAATAAACAAGGAGATGGCATTAAGATTGGGAAATGGATTGATTTGGATGATAGATTTTATAGTTTGAAATAAGTAACTTATCATGGTGAATATAAAAATGGCAACAAAGTTGGTAGATGGAATACTTTTTGGAATTCAAGAATGTATGTGTAGAATTATTTATAAAATTGTTTATAGTAATACTTGGTGCTGTTATGATGGTAGAGAGATTACTCATGGTGCTTCCAAAAAAATGTATAATTAAATTTTGTAATTATTTTTATAGAGGAGGTGGATGTTATGATGATCAAGGGGATGGAATTAAGATTAGGAAATGGATTGATTTGGATGACGAATTTGATAAATTGAAATCAATAATATATTCTGGTGAATATAAAAATGGCAAAAAGGTAGGGATATGGGAGATTTTATACTTCGATGATTATAAGAAAAATCCTTAATTATTGTAATAAATATGATAATAGAATTTTAATAGTGGTGGCGGATCTTATGATGAAAATGGTAACGGCTTTAAAATTGGAAAGTGGATTGATTGGATTGAATTTGGAAAAAATTATGAAGGATTTATAACTTATCATGGTAACTATAAAAATGGGAAAAAAGTTGGAACATGGAATGTATTTAATGAATTTGGGTTAGTAGATATAATTTAATATTAAAATTGAAAAAAATAAATATTTCATAATAATT